CCCCTGTATACAAGGTGCAAAGCTTTTAATTACACCCAATCAAGCATGTGACGGTGCAGGTGTTCTCATCGCTGCAGGACAGTGGGATTAGTGTTTTTTTTATTTCTCTTGCATACGATTTTCTCACATGCTCGGCTCCTGTACTGTCTTGAGTCAAAAACACGCTCTGGCCCTCCACCAAACTGCAATAGGTTACACACTGTTATGCCTAATGGGGCGTGGGGAGGGCACTGAGGTAAATAACATCTCCTGACTGCACTCAAAGCACTTCTGGATACTATTTACTGCCCATGTTCCCCTGGTGATGTCTAAGTATCTGTCAAAGTGTCTAATGGGTTTTACAGTGCCTCCGAGAAGCTGTTTATTTACAACTACATCTGTCATACATCCATGTGTTAGGTGAGGAGTTAGAGCCGGATGATACAGCCAATTTTGGGATAAAACGTTCCCTTTTTCCCAATTTTGCTCTTGATTAACGTAATCCAGCGCTTTCCCCTTTCCCCCTCGCCATGTTTATTTCCTCCATGACGGGCTTTAGGTATATTTGCAAAAGGTTGGGGTGGAGGAAGCTTATGGATTTGGCTTTAATTAAATTGCTTCCTAGACAAAGCCTCTTAAAGTGCACCAGATTGATGGATTTACTTACAAATGTACAACATTTTCTAACGAAAAAACATGTGAGAACCACACCGGAATTACATCACAATTTCTCTGATAATGTCAATATCTTGTCCTGAATAATACGTGTGTGATTCTGAGCATTTCTATTTGCAGAGTTATAAATACACTGCGCTAAATAAACCTCTATACACTTGAATGCATTGTGTAACTCATAACAATGACACACTGAGTAATGTCAGTGAGAGATAACTCAAAGTACAACAGTGAACAATGAGAAGAGCCTGATGGCCGCTATTACCGCTAAAGTTGTGTGTGTGTGTGTGTGTGTGTGTGTGTGTGTGTGTGTGTGTGTGTGTGTGTGTGTGTGTGTGTGTGTGTGTGTGTGTGTGTGTGTGTGTGTGTGTGTGTGTGTGTGTGTGTGTGTGTGTGTGTGTGTGTGTGTGTGTGTGTGTGTGTGTGTGTGTGTGTGTGTGTGTGTGTGTGTGTGTGTGTGTGTGTGTGTGTGTGTGTGTGTGTGTGTGTGTGTGTGTGTGTGTGTGTGTGTGTGTGTGTGTGTGTGTGTGTGTGTGTGTGTGTGTGTGTGTGTGTGCAGAAGAGAGAAACAGATTGCCATGACCCTTCAAGGTGGCGCCACACAAAAGCTTCACGGCCAGAGGACATCTTTGCACGATGTTCTCTCTCATGGCCACGCACACACACACACACACACACACACACACACACACACACACACACACACACACACATACACACACACACACACCTTAGAAATGTGTTTCTAGATGTGAAAACCAGGAGTGCAGAAGTAGGACAACACGTAAGAGAGGCAGGGATCCATTGTGGGCTTTCTTTGCTTTTCACTAAGTCAACTTCAGTTCATAATCCTGTCCTGGCTGTCAGTACAGTAAAGTGTACAGAAGTTACGACTGTGTAACACTAACAGGCGTGAAGACACACAGTTTCATCCTTGTGTCATCACACAGAGGATGTACAAGTCTCCAACCACATGCAGTGTGCGATGTGGAAGCAGGGAGCAGATCGATTGCAGCAGCCTTGTAGCGAGCACGTGCTTGGGGAGTTATAAAGTAACTGCTTTAGCTGGAGAGGTTGATTGAAGCCGGAGAGGAGGAAGAGGAGAGCTTTATGACCTTGTAAATCAGAGGGAATGTGTAAACCCTGGCTCGGAGAGAAAACAGAATAGTCGGGAGTGTGAGGAGGAACGCTTACAGGTTAAGACACATAACCTACGAGAGCCTCAGGGTGGAAATAAAGGTACACAGCTATTGATCTCCGTGGATGACTTACAACAAGACAGTACTTGCCAGTTAATAATGAATACTGCATATGAGTAATAACTCCTGAGTGTACTGCAGTAACATCAAGAAGTGTTTTGCCTCATCAGGATGCAGAAAGGTGCGTTTGGTGCGACTTAACTCCACCCTAAAAACTGCCTCCGACGTCAAATATCAAACGCACCTCTGATCCTCTTTCTGACTGACGGACCCCGGGGCCTAAAAAACACATCACTCATTCTTCAGAGGAGGAGGAACACACACACACACACACACACACACACACACACACACACACACACACACACACACACACACACACACACACACACACACACACACACACCCTGCTGCCTTTAGAGTCTTCATGACGCTTCAGTTTTCCTTTAAGAAGGGTTAGTTTCCCTTGGTTCTTTGGCTCTGCTATATTGGACGAAATCAAACCTATCCCAATTTAAACAAAATATAAATGTATTTCACTTTTGTATTAAAAACAACATCAGCTGTTGTGATATTTCTTGTTTTTTCAACCTGTAGATGTACAGTATCAGCTCTTCTATTTTGTTCCACCTTCCAAGTATGTGTGTGTGTGTGTGTATTCTTCAGGTGTCTACCTTATTTCCAAATCCCCTCACACACACACACACACACACACCTATAAATCCTAGCTCAGCTCTCCTGAGTGAAAAAGATTACAGGGTAGAGATTTCACCTTCTAATTAGGACTTCATCTCTCTCTCTCTGTCACACACACACACACACACACACACACACACACACACACACACACACACACACACACACACACACACCACACTCACACACACACTCACACTCACACAAAAGACACCAGGCTGCTTTAGTTACAGCAGGCTGGCTGGAGGCATCTGATAGCCGAGCCACCAGGGACCCTGACGAGCGGCTACCTGAAATGTAAGCCCAAAAAGAAGCACTGAAGTAGACACACACACACACACACACACACACACACACACACACACACACACACACACACACACACACAGAGACTGAGTGCAGGGGCATGTCCTGGAGGAAGAACAGTTTCAAAGGCAGGCTCGTGTGTAGGAGTTGTGTGTGAATTTGAAACAGGTAGCCTTTAGCAGTAATAGCCTCGGTGCCCCACAAGTGTTGAAACTATAGGAAATCAATTGTGTGTGTGTGTGTGTGTGTGTGTGTGTGTTGTGTGTGTGTGTGTGTGTGTGTGTGTGTGTGTGTGTGTTGGGTGTGTATGTGTGGTGTGTGTGTGTGTGTGTGTGTGTGTGTGTGTGTGTGTGTGTGTGTGTGTGTGTGTGTGTGTGTGTGTGTGTGTGTGTGTGTGTGTGTGTGTGTGTGTGTGTGTGTGTGTGTGTGTGTGTGTGTGTGTGTGTGTGTGTGTGTGTGTGTGTGTGTGTGTGTGTGTGTGTGTGGTGTGTGTGTGTGTGTGTGTGTGTGTGTGTGAAAAAACAGGCTTTCTGTCATGATGGAGAAAATGGCCAGCTTTCATCTCCATGCCTCCCTGAAGGATTGGGCTTTGAAAGGCTTTGACTGCACTGTACGCTTCTTCCATGTGAAGTCTGTAGCAGCTATAGGACGAAGCCAAACACGGGCATATTTATGCAGATTGGGCACGGTTTTACATCACTCAAGCCCGTCGTTATTGGAAATCAAAGTCCTGCTGTTGCAATCTCAGTGTGGGGGCCATGACTTTTATTATGGGAGTTATTCAAAAATAGAAGCTCTTTTGGGGCTTTCGAATCCACGACGGCTATTGCCAAGACACTAAAAAGAGATCATAGGCTAAGACAAGAAGCTGTTGGATAAGCTGATCAACTCTTTTAGGATCCTTCATTATCACATTTTAACAATGGAAGTGTTTGTTTACCTCCAATGCATACAATTATATCTGTTTGTGTACACGCTATTATACGCAATCCTTGGGAACATTAAAGGTGCCCTTGGAGATGAAAGCTCTCTCTTAGGCGGAGAGAAAGTATTATTATTGGAGCAAATCTATGTATTATTATCACAATTGACCTTGTCCACTTCAAGTCAGTCTGGTAGCATTCTTGTCTGCTGGAAGTGGCTTTTTTTTAGCATGCTTTGAATGCTTTATTGTGTTTTTGATCAAGGACATGTTGGATTTGTTGGATTTGATATTAAAGCAGGGTATTGTGCTCAATGGTGCTCCTGATACAGATCTATTTATAGCTCTACCTGCCTTTGTGGCCAGATGGTCGGTCAGGTAGCTCGGACAAAAGTTCATCAGGCCAAACAACATCATCCTCATCCTCTGATTTATTAGATATGAATTCATCGAGGAATCCAGGGACCAACTTAATCTAAATAAGCTGAGTAATACTAATAATATGTTTATTTAGTACAGCACCTTTCACAGAAATAACAAAAGTTAGAATTAAGACCACAGAAACATGACAACATGAGGCAGGAATGTAAGGTTAACATAAAAGCAAAATACAGACCACGTGGAGTCCTGAAAGCAACAAACACAAGAACACATCGCCTTCGTCACACACGAGTTGTTTTTTTAAAAAGCTTCTACAGATAGTAAATACTTTTTGGCATACAGTAAGGTTTATAAAGAAATTGTCATCATATTTGGAACAAAAATGTATTTTAATTGGGACGAGCTGTTCTTCGGTTTTCTGCACTCAACATCCACACATATTAAAACCAAAATAGTTATTTGGGATGTTGAGTGTAGCTGCCAGGAAAGCAATCACAAAGAAATGTCTCAAACCAAACAGCCCATCTATAGAGGATTGGTACGATATCATTGATGGAAAGAATAACCTTCTCTATGAGGCTCCAGGAACTTACATTTGAGGACATTTGGGAGAAATGGAAAGCGTACATTACCCCGATACGCCCTTCTTTTGCTACTTTTATTTAATGATCCATACTGGCAATGTCTTATATTGAAAAGAAAACTACCCACGTGCTTGTTGAGAAAGAGAAGACCACTCTATTTAACTATTTAACTACAAATTAAATAAAATCTTCTACAGAGACTGCAGAGCGGTGTAGGTGGAGTTTGACCTCTAACGTTTATGTATCTGTTTGTTTCAGGATAAAAAGAAATACCTGGACAACATCCACAGCTACATGGAGGTCCACGGCACCGTGCACGGCACCAGCACCGTGCACCTGCCCAGCTACGTCAAGAACCACGGCATCCTGAGCGGCCGAGACCTGCAGTTCCTCCTCCGGGAATCTAAGGTGAGTCCCCCACCCTTAACTGTAAATAAAAAAAGACCCTTCAGAAAAATAATAGGGGTTCTTTCACGGATCTGAAAGCCCCAAACCAACTCCCACGCTCTTCCCGTTGGGCATTTTTTTAAACGACCAAGAAACTGTGATCCAGTAGAAAGTAAGTTCTTTGGACATAAGACGGTCTTTACATGAAGAGAGGCTCGCTTGAGTAGCTGCAGTGTGTCTGAGCCTGTCCACTGAAGCACTTCTCCATTCACGTCATGACTTGTCTCCTCTTCCCACCACTCACTCAAACCACTCTCTCATTCTCAGAGAACAAGGACACACACTTGTTTAACACAAACAGCTTTGTTTTGTGGCAGCACTGATGTAAGACGTTCTCTCTCTCTCTGTGCCATAAATCAAACGCATACATGATACAGAAGAGTAACAGCAGAAGCAAAACAAGAAATGCAAATGTGTAGTGATCAATAATTCAAGGATCAGTTGATGCATTCCTGGGAAACAAAAACGACGACGAATGGCCCATGACTTTCTTGGAGTGAAGAGATAATTGAGCGAATTTGATTCTCTGTAGTAGCAAGGAAAACTCACATAAGCTCCATATGGTTGCAGACTGATGCACTTTCATTTTAAAGCAAGGTAGCTGAGGTTTTCTCACCACTCGATGATATACATAGAAGACATAGTATTGTTATTGTGTCGCAGTGTAGAGACAGTTAGGCCCCGGCCACACGAGGACGAAAACGGCTAAACGCATAGGATGAACGCAATCGCAAAAAAGCTTCCGTCCACACGCAATATTCACCGGATAGTGTCTGTCCACACGAGACCGCTCCGTTTAGCTCCAACCGCTGGAGAAGCTGCAGTACATATGCCGAGCCTGTACGTGGCGCTGTAACTTCCTCCACAAAAGCAGCGAAGAAGCATAGTTGTCATGGTTGCCCTTCTGTTTATTCTCCGCGGTGGGGGCCGAGGGAACCGGGCAGAGTTTTTCGCCAGTCAACGTGTATTAAAGTTTAAATCTTCCGGACAAAATTATAAAAGTGCCGGTCAAAGGTCTTCTTTGTTATTTATTGAGCTTTAAAACAAATGAATAACGACTCTATATAATATAATAATAAAATACACGGAGCCTCTCTTTTTCCTCCCTCTCTTCGGACAGCGCCAGTGTCTGTTTCATGCAGCAGCTGATCCAGTAATGAGTGACCCGGCCGACAGTAAAAATAAACATATTTATAACTAGTTTAGGTAGTTTGAGAGGTGTCTCCGTCCTGTCAGATTAGACTTCACTCGCGTTTATGTCCATATCGAGAGAAAGATAAATAATCTGAATTCAGTGTGCAGTTTACTTTGACGCGGGGTGAGCAGCAGAGGTGGGGAGGCGGGGCTATTGCCTCATCATTATCAGAAAATGATCGTATAGGGCGTACACACGGAGCCGTTGGACCCCCCAGAGCGTTGCGTATGCCGTTCTATCCACCTTGGGACCCGTTATCGTTTCCGCAGTCGTTTAGTGCCGTATTCGGTCGTCCTCATGTGGCCGAACGGTCTATATGACACTAAACAGTAACGCAAACGACCGTTTTCGTCCTCGTGTGGCCGAGGCCTTAGACTTGGTATTAAATTAGCTTTACCCATCCAATTAAAATTAAGACAGAGATGCAAACTTAAGATACAATCTGCAACCATCAACAACCTACTTCCAAAATGTAATACACAGTTTTGAACCACTAATGTATAACCCTACAAAGTAGTTAATGATGTGCTCCTTAGCCTTGGAGAAAGGCTATGTTACTACTTTAGAGGATTGGATTTCAAAGGACCTGGCAGCAATGTCAGCTGAAGGTGAAAACCATCATTAGTGCTGGCCTTGAAACGTGGAGTCTGTGTTTTGGCTCCAGTCGGCGTCCTTTTCAGAGCAGTGAGAGAGGGAGAGCGCTTCGATTTCTGCAGCCTCTGAAACCAGATGCCTTGCCATCAGCCGAGCAGAAGAGAGATCATGATTCAGAAAGTGGCATGGAATGATTTCAGCCTCTTTTTTTTGTGCCGAAAAACATTCTGAACATCCAAATAAAAAACGATTCTTGGCTGGCACATCCATCTCTGCGCTGAACACCAAACACATCCACTGTTTGCAGCGGAGCAGATCATTAAAGTGTTGAAAGCAATGTGCTAAAGACCAAAAGGAAGCAACACTCACATTGGTGCCAGAAAGCGCTGCACAAACAATGGAGTACATTTGGATTTGCTTGATGTAGGCAGGTTGGATCCATCCCAGAGTTTCACTTAACCCTCCTGATTTACTACTTTCATCAATCATAACTTTATTGTTTTACATTAGATTGCATTAAGGCTTTATGATATCCTTCACAGTAGACAATTGAACATATCAAATAGCTGATCACCACTTTCATTGAATTTTGGATGATTTAGTCAACTTTGTAACACCCATAGTGTTCCCGCTCAAAACTGACCGCCATAAAGAAAAGGAATTAGTAACCATCCGGATCAGATAAAACGCACACACACACACACACACACACACACACACACACACACACACACACATACTCTAGATGTGTTCCCCCCTTATGTGCCCCTCCCCCCACATGAATCACACCTGGCACACACACACACACACACACAGAACAATTTGATACATTTCCCGCTCTTATGTGCCCCTCCCCCCACATGAATCACACCTGGCACACACACACACACAGAACAATTTGATACATTTCCCGCTCTTATGTGCCCCTCCCCCACATGAATCACACCTGGCACACGCAATACATGTTCAGTGTCTATTCTTTGTATATTTACTGCAGTTTTTCATGTATACCAGTAGTCTGATACAATATGTACAGTTTGAAAGGGTGTTCAATGAAATGTGGTGATGATTAATGGTTTTTGTGTTAATGTAATAGCAGTTAAAACAGGACCGGTCAAATTTGACCGCTAACACCAAAGTAAGGGGGGGAACACGAAGACAATAGGAGGGTTAAACCCCACATTTAATCCAGCTTGTTTGCTAAAAAGTTTTTTTGTGTACATAGGCACAGTTTTGACCCACACATTTGACCTGCAATCATTTAATTGGCCTTGTGGGGTGTAACTACTAACCAGACACAGCGCTCTTGCTGTTGCCGACTGACATTAGATTTTCTCTCAAGCTACCTTTCCTGAAATAAACCCTGACATGCTGTTCTGCATCAGGGGAATAGTGTTGATGATCAAACCTCTGCAGCTTTCCTGCGTCATGTCTCACGTTTAATCAAAGCTTTCCTTCTTGTCTGTCTGCACTACCTGTTTAAGTGCCTCCTACTGTCTGACTCTAACATGTGTTTTCTATTTTCCTCCTCTTCCGCACACCCTCTACACGATATAGATGTTAGACAAGTACAGCTTCCAGGTTGTAATACCACATATAGTCCCTCCTTCTTACGTTGTCATCACTTTCTGCAAGGAAACACGTCCCAGTGGCAGGTGCTGGAGGTAGAAATACTGAAAACAAACAAGCTAATTATCTCTCTGGGTCGTTAAATTGAGCGACCACCATTAGGGGATGTGGCAGAACCGTGAGACACCAAACTTCTTCTTTATTTATTTTTGAGCTCATTATGGGAGTCTTCACTTCTTTTCTGTGGGTTATTCTGTTTCTTTAGGTGGAGCTCTTCTCCATCTGTGGCCGATATCTGCTTCATCTGCTACAGAATCATCAATGCAGCTTTTATTTTGTATGCAAAGACATGCTTAACATACATTTGGAGAGTTGTAGGACTTGCGTGATCAGGGACATTTGCATTTAGCAGGACGTTTGACCACTATTCAATAGACCAGCAGCTCTAAGTCCTTCATGTGCGGCACTAATCACTAAATATGCACGTACATGCTGCTTAATGCACATTAATACGGAGCTTTCTTATTGATTTCTCTTTCCAACAGTCACATATGAGAGGCAGGCATCTTTCATTCATTTCTCCTCTCAACCATAGCAGCTCTCTCTGTGTCTCTGTGTCTCACCCCCTCCCCTCCTCGCTCCTATAAATAGTTTGTGACTGTTTCTATCCTTTTGCATATATACACACACACACACACACACACACACACACACACACACACACACAGAGGAAGACGAAGAAGTGTGCTCTGCTGCCATCTGCTGGTAGAAGTATGGGTTAACAAAGCTGTATTTCTTAACACTGATATTGCACATATACTCTGTCTTGAATTACATTTCCAGTGTTATTTGTAACTTTCCTTAAGCTACAGAACCCCTTGGATATAATTCAGTAATTCATGGGGAAATAAATGACACTTAAATATATACAAATACAATTAAGAAGTCGTTCCTTTCAACACCGAGTGGTGGATATCGTTTTTCTTCACATGGGCTCATTGTTCATATACAGACAGACATGGGATACAGCACTACATTGTGTTGTGTCATTATGTACACACACACGGGCCAATACAAACACACTATTGTAGCGCTGGCCCTACTGTAAGAGAGCCCCCCCCTCCTCTGTTTCTGAATCTGTCTCACATGTTTCAGCTCGCTGCTACGACCTGGTAAATATTTGCTCTTCCCATCCAGGAGGAGAGAGCTGTTATTAAAGCCCCTCTTGTACTCTTTGTGTACAGTGTGCACTTTACAGTATGTGGGAAGGACTTGGTGTGTTCAGACTTTACACAGTAACCCACGACTAAAGGTACATTTAAGGAGTCAGTCTGCTTTATTTAGTCAGCTTAAAACCTGGATAATAAAATGACTGCAGACATGTTTTGTCCTCCAAGACGTCAGACCAGGTTTTTTTAAAGTGAGGCTACTAAAAAAAACTACATTCCAGCAATCTTTAAGATATGACCTGTAGTTCAAACTGTTAACATGCTGTGTGTCTAGGTTGCTCTCTAATAAAACACCTTCTTTCAAGAAATACAAATCCCTTCCTTATTGAAGTTGTTGGTGGAAAGATACAGCATAGTCAGAGATTTCGGAATATATCACCATCCATCCATCTTCTCCCGCTTATCCGTGGTCGGGTCTCGGGGTAGCAGTTCCAGCAGAGAGCCCCAAACGTTCCTTTCCCTGGCGACATCAACCAGCTCTGACTGGGGGATCCCAAGGCGCTCCCAGGCCAGCGAAGAGATATAATCCCTCCACCTGGTCCTAGGTCTACCCCTTGGTCTCTTCCCAGCTGGACGTGCCTGGAACACCTCCCTAGGGAGGCGCCCAGGTGGCATCCTAACTAGGTGCCCGAACCACCTCAACTGGCTCCTTTCGACGCGAAGGAGGAGCGGTTCAACTCCGAGTCCCTCCCTGATGACCGAACTTCTCACCTTATCCCTAAGGGAGACGCCAGCCACCCTGCGGAGAAAACCCATTCTCGGCCGCTTGTATCCGCGATCTCGTTCTTTCGGTCATGACCCATCCTTCATGACCATAGGTGAGGGTAGGAACGAAAATGGCCCGGTAGACAGAGAGCTTTGCCTTCTGGCTCAGCTCCCTTTACGTCACTACGGTATATATCACATGGTGTATAAATATTGATTTGAATTAGACAATCTGTATACATCTTTGCAAATTCTCCCCAGGCTTCTCACGGTGTGTTTTATTCTGCTAACTGTCCTCGGTCACCAGTCTTCTCTTGACCTTTAACAGGAGCAAACATCAGAGTGCTGTCTCTATGTTCCTTTTGTTTTCCCTCCCTGAAAATCTGCTGCCTCAGCTGTATTTTGTGCTGATAACATGGGAGGTTTGGGTTAACTGAATTTCCTCCTCCCCCCGAGCAGCTTTTTTCTTATTCTCATTATTCTGTCACTCCCACAGCTCCTTCATGCCCTCAGTGTCCAACATGTGCTTTAAAAAGTAGTTTCTTTTTTAGTGCCACTCACTGTACTGTGAACATACTATACTTTGAACTTTACTCCATGTATCTTCCAGCTTTAGTCAATGGCTACTTTAAAAATTAAGATGTTGGCATAAAAAACACAAGACACGAGTAACAATGTTTTTAAAGTGTGGTATTATTGCTTTTCCGCAGGTAAATGAGCTGGATGCATAAAAAGCATGCATGTGGAGGCTAATCAGTGGTTTTTATTGCCTCTTCCTGCAGTTGTTTGTGGGTCTCTCCTTCCCCTACGAGGGTCCCGCCCCCCTGGAGGCCATCGCCAACGGCTGCGCTTTCCTGAACCCCAAATTCACGCCTGCGAAGAGCAGCAAGAACACAGACTTCTTCAAAGGCAAACCCACGCTGAGAGAGGTGACATTTGAAATCTGGTGAAAGTAAGAGTTTTAAAAAGGTGCGTTTGATTTCCTGACCCTCTGCTCTTCTGTCTGCAGCTGACCTCCCAACATCCGTACGCTGAGGTGTACGTCGGTCAGCCACACGTCTGGACGGTGGATATCGAAAACCCTGTCGAGGTGGAGAACGCCATCCGCTCCATCCTCAGCCAGAAGGTATTTCTTTAATCCAAATTCTATCCAAAGAACCGTAGTGGCAGATACGTAATTGCACATGTCATTATTGCACTTTCTTTATGGCTTAAACAATAACTTATAAATCATTGTAGAGGCATTCTCTGTTGACTAATTAATCAAGGAATCAACCTAATGGTTTCAGCTCTGATGCAAAGTCATAGTAGCGTAAACAAGAATTGAAAAGGCATACAAATGTTGACACATCAGTCAAATAATCACACAAATATTTAGAGTTAGAGGTACTTGAACACAGTGTGCATAGCCAGATGTATTTATGATATTACTACTAACACATATACATGTTCTGCACTGGATATAACATCTCAACATCCTCCCAGTGTGAAAGCTGTAGCTAGGTACGACTGCTAATGCTTCATTTATTGTTATACTATGACCTAAACTGGACATGAGTGAAAGTGCAGGGAATTGTAAATGTTTGGTCATTAAAAAATGTCACAATTTCCTCGTGACATAAGATCTCCACATCCTCCCAGTTCAGGACGGTTAATGCTTCATTTATTGTTATACTATGACCTAAACTGGACATGAGTGAAGGTGCAGGGGCGGTAGAAGAGGTCCGTCTTCTCGTCTCGACGCATGCATATTTATTTTCCGGGCGCAGGACCTCGTGTTGTGTTGTGCTCCGCCGAGCGAGTCGGGACAATGGCTTTGTTCAGCGAAACAAGCCTGCAGAGTCTCATATGCTTTGTGATCCGTGGCGAGCTGTGCAGCCTACCAGGCTCCAGCTTGGCTCTCACACCCCCCCTCTTCTCCTCCTCCTCCTCCTCATCTTCCTCATCTTCCTCCCCAAACACAAAGACAGAAAGCAACGAGTGACTTCAACAAAGATTCTGTTGTTGCTCGCCTCCGTTTGAAGTTTCAAATCAGAGTCGATTGATCTCACAGTCGAGAGGCTGATATTTCACCAGCTCACATAAATCAGTTCTCTGTGTGTGTGTGTGTGTGTGTGTGTGTGTGTGTGTGTGTGTGTGTGTGTGTGTGTGTGTGTGTGTGTGTGTGTGTGTGTGTGTGTGTGTGTGTGTGTGTGTGTGTGTGTGTGTGTGTGTGTGTGTGTGTGTGTGTGTGTGTGTTGTGTGTGTGTGTGTGTGTGTGTGTGTGTGTGTGTGTGTGTGTGTGTGTGTGTGTGTGTGTGTGTGTGTGTGTGTGTGTGTGTGTGTGTGTGTGTGTGTGTGTGTGTGTGTGTGTGTGTGTGTGTGTGTGTGTGTGTGTGTGTGTGTGTGGTCACTCCTCACACACCTCTCTCTCTGTGTGTGTGTTCAGATCGAGCCCTACCTGCCCTATGAGTTCACCTGTGAGGGGATGCTGCAGAGAGTCAATGCCTTCATCCAGAACCAGGTACTCTTCACACACACACACACACACACACACACTGAGAACTGATTTATGTCACATGATCAAAGCCTACTAAAATAATAATAATACATTTAATTGTTATAGTGCTTTTCCCAGTGCTCGAAGACGCTTTACATTAGTTGCACACAGCATGTCGAGTAGCTTAATGTCTTAGAATGTCTTGTATATGTTGATTTTGTTGTTATTATTATTTTATTTCAATGTTGTTTTTGTAATTAAGGTCTGTTGTTTTTTGGTATTGTTGACCCTGGTAGAATGGTCTCTTTTACTCCCTTTATTGTACATGTGAGGGTCTATGTATGTATGCTTTCTGTGTTTGACAATGTCACCAATAAATCATATATTTAAAAAAATGAGGACTTTTACATTACATTGCATTTAGCTGATGCTTTTATCCAAAGCGACTTACAATAAGTAAGACTTATAAGCAAAACACCAACATAGTACAGAGTGAAAATAGGTCTGACATTAATGATACTTCAATGTTCTGTGTGGTCTCTCAGGACTTCTGCCACGGCCAGGTGATGTGGCCCCCCCTCAGCGCGCTGCAGGTGAAGCTGGCAGAGCCGGGTCGATCCTGTAAGCAGGTCTGTCAGGAGGAGCAGCTCATCTGTGAGCCCTCCTTCTTCCAGCACCTCAACAAGGACACGGACCTCGCCAGGTGGGACACACACACACACACACACACACACACGTAAAATTGGTCTTGAATTACCTTTGAGTGTCATAAAAAAAGTCTGAAACCCTGATGCACATGATTGAATTCATGCGTACAGAATATAATCCAGTTTAAATAAGCAGCAGTGTCAGGTTGAAACCACTGGAGGGCGCCGTTACACTGCTTACAAGGCTTATGACTGATGCTGAAGAACATTTGTGTGTGTGTGTGTGTGTGTGTGTGTTCAGCTTCTTCTTATTCAAATTTTACAGACATTTATATTATGTCAATATTAATATATGCACACTGCCAATCCATCTACTTACTGTATGCAAAGCAATGATTGAAACTAACACATTTTGAGTGTAATTCAAACGTGTAAAAGTGATAATTCAGCATAGATAGTGTACTTTAGTTGACTTTTGATGCCGTGTGTCTCAGGTTCGGGTTGGACTGTCAGACGGTGGAGTCGAGTGCGGACACGTTGGTCCCGGCGTACGGCAAGACGCGGCGTCACTGCATCTTCCAGTCCGACCTGCTGCTGTTCAGCTGCGCCGGCTCTCACAGCTCGCTGCACCGCATCTGCCCCTGCCGCGACTACATGAAGGGCCAGGTGGCGCTGTGCAAAACATGCCTATAGCACCAACACACACTCTGACGGAGGGGGAGAGGGGGCAGCTTGTGAGTGTGTGTGTTTGAAACATCCATCAAACACACACACCAGACTTTTATTTTGTGGGAAGCTGAACATTCATCATATTTATTGTTTCCCGCGCTGCTGGGGGCGAAGCAGCTGATTCCCCGAGTCCTGGAGGAGGCGCTGTGAAAATACTTGAATCAAGAAAGGGAGTTTTATTACTGCTCCTCTGCAGACGGCTCATATCAAAGACTGCTGCCTGTCTGTCTGCAGCGAGGACGCTCCAGCCCCTCCATAAACCCCCCAAACTCTTTACTCTTTAGGTAGGTTTGCACTGGACAGCATGCCTGAAGGCCCAAATCCCCTCCACACACACATTTACACACACACACTGACATGGGGAGGCTAACAGACGGCGGCTAAAGAAGAACCAGTTTTACACTGTAACCTCTCTTCTGGAAAAACACGTGATTTATTGTAGATATCTAGATTTTTATCCTGGAGGTTTTATTTCCTGACGCTTACCCCAAGACTTAAAAGAAGTCCTCATATCCCCCTATAGACAGGAAAGTGTGTGTCAGCTAGGGCTGGGCGACAATATTGTTGGGTTGCTTTCACAGAATGAATGACTAGGTAAATAATAGAACAGCCTCAATCACAAATGTGCATCATCTTAGCCTTTGAAACCAGGACAAGACAATAGTTGGTCTATATCTCGATAAAACATGGATGTATCGCCCAGCCCGAGGGTCTGACACAGGCGCGGTCGCTCCCTCAATTCGAATAGTCTCATTTCATTTGCACACTTGTTTTAAAGGATATCGTTTTATTTAAAAGTGTGTGTGTGCTTCTAAGAGGCCAGTAATATTTCAGCACATCATGCGGTACTACACACACACACACCGAGGGATGGAGATTCTCTAGAGCGGAAGCTGACGTGTTTATGGTGTTTTGTCGTAGACGAGGAATCAACCAAATGTTTAACAAGCACTCCACAACTTGCAGAGGAATCTGTCAGTGTCTAAATGTGCAACAGCAGAGCCAGGCTCATCTCCATCTTCCTGTGAAATCCAAAAACACGCAAAAACCTCGCATCTCCTCGTTTGTGTTCGCTAGGATCCCAATTCGCCTTGTGCAGATTTGCGAAGAAAAAAATTAAGATAGAAGTCCAAATTGGTAGTTGTTGTGGTGAATGGAAACATGCACTACGGTAGTCTATTGGCAGAGGTTTAGCGAGATATTAGTAACACTGTATATTGTTCATATGAGTTTGCTTTTTTATTTATTTTGTATACAGATCTTTATCGCTGTGTTTTGCTGGAAATCTCAGTTTTTTTTATTTATAGGAGGAGGGTGACGTTCTTTTTTCTTTTTATAGTTTTATTTATGGAGAGTAATTTAAAAGTAAAGCTTGCTTATCTGCAAGTATGTTCGAGAGGAGGGGGGCTTTGTCCGCTGCTGCTCAGATTTAAAACTAATTTCTTTTACATTTTCTATACAAACACAAATTCAACATCATTGATTTTGTGTTTTATAGAAAATGTTTATGATATTTTATTCTTTAAAGCTCTAAAAACTTGCATTAGGATTGGTTCTAAATCCAAGTCTAACATGGGGCTGAAAAACATTATTGCGATATATATATTAGGATCTGAACCAAACTTAGATTTTTGATGAAGTCTGTTTAAAACCAGGACAAAACCATAAAACTACAATCAGATTCTTTGACTTTACAGAGTATTGCACTTACTGCGAGTTAGCAAGCATGTGTATTAAGCTGGCCTGCAGTGGACACGCGCTCCTCGTTGTATCGTGACGGCAGCCTCACACAATTTGTGCTTTGATTTCCAATCTCAGTTGTTCTCGTTTGCACACGAGTGGATTCAGTCCGTGTGCGCTCGGACTGAATCCACTTCTTTCTTTTTTTTACTTTTATAAACAATGATCTGCCCGCCAACTTTTCAAAGAACATGACGTGCCTTTTCATGCTTCAGTTTCCGGTTGATGATCAGCGGCTGTCTGAAAAAGAAAACACACTCGTGACGCCGCCTTCACTCCCACACCTCCACACATTTTCTTTCTCCTGAATCACTTTTATTGTTCACTTTGAATCACTTTGTATCTAATATTAATATATTACTGGTCAAATCACTCCATTGAATCAGCCCAAACCTTGTGATTAGTTAGTTGCTGGAAAAGTAAACACCTATTAAGCTTAGAGAACATTCAAGCCTGTCAGTGGATTGACTTGTTTGACAGTAATCAGATGACATGACAGTTATTAGAAACATCCATCTGTTGGATTCCCTTTTTCCTATTTACATGACCATGCATAAACTAGTGAGTAATCAGATTACTGCAGCAGGTGTTTTATCTTAAACCGATCACTTTATGCACGTGACTTCCTTCAGATAACAACGGTGATGTTATCCTTTCATTTACAGGATAAAGCTTAATATATTCTACACTTTACTTACTGTCAACAAATCCATGTTATGGACCAAAACCAGCTCTGTCTGTGGGTCTGCTGACAATAAGAGAATATAAGCAGAGTATATATTGTATTTGATAGAGTAAGGATGGTTGAATTCAGTACTATGAGTTGAAATCAATGGTTTTAGTTATTTGTCCAATAAAAAAGCAAGAAAAGCCGGGTACACGTTTGTCGTTGCAGCCTTATTTACTTCCTGTTATTCAAAGCATGCTGTTATTGATCAGATTATCAATGAGAACAAACTGGTTTCTTCACCATATCTGTCTTTGTTAACCTTGGCATTGAATGTCTCCATTGTAAACAAACAAACACGCTATGTAAAGTCAAACGGACATTTATCAATCTTTGCTTAAGAATCTGTGATGATTGTGGTCCAAGCAGCGAACGGAGAATAATTCAATGACACATTTTTTTGTTTTGTTTCAACAGTCTTGACGAGTAAGAGGGATATAACTTTATTTTTAATAAACCTTTTTTCTGTGACAAAAGGCTCGGACTCTGGTTTGATATTTGTTTTCACATCACAGCATTACATACATTACATTTATCCAAAGCGACTAACATACACTCAGTACTGTGGGCAATCCCCACAGGAGCAATTTGGGGTGAAGTGTCTCAGGGACACAACGACATGCTGTGGGGTTTGAACCTGTGCTCCCCTGATCCCAACACTACCCACTGCACCACAGCCGCCCACATACACATTACCTCCATTCTGAAACAAACACAGGGATAATCCTTTAAAAGCACTGAATAAAAGCAGTTTCACTTTCAAAATGCCAACAATCCAAATTGAAATGTCTCAGGAATTGATCATTGATTGTAGACGTCACAAGGATGTTCCTAAGGAGTGCATCATACACAACGACAAGGTCGAAATTGTCACATCATACAAATACTTGGGCACCATTTTCGATGACCACCTCAAATTTGATGTGAATACTGATAACTCATTCACACCAACGCAACTCCGGTTCAAGCTCCGTGCTAGAGCTTTTCAGGTTCAGAACCAGATAAAACGCAGGCTTGTTGTTGTTGTTCAGGAGTTGATCTCGCCCCCGCCTCGACGTAAGCGAGACGTATGTGGTGCTTTTGCTCTGGCCAGACAATTTTTTGGTGCTTGAAACAAACCGGATTCCGGAGCTAAGAGGCTGCTCCGCTGCGGTGTGAAGAGGAAAACCCGGTGCTTCTCAAGCTCCAGCTCCGAACCGGCCCTGAAACACCGTTGGTGTGAATGAGGTATGAGTGTATTGTGAAGCCGGGTCCACAGAGAATGCACCTTCTTCGCAAACTGAACTCTTTCTCTGTCAGCCTTTCATTCTTTGTCGTTTTTACCAAGCATTCATTGAGAGCCTTATTTGTTTTTCTTTTATCTGCTGGTTCCATAGCCTTACACTGAAAGACAGGAACAGCCTGAACAGCATTGTTAAAACCTGCTCCAAGATCATCGGCGTGAAACCGAGAGACTTAAACTCCTTCTGTAACAGATTCTGCGGAAAGCAGAGAGCATTCTGGTCGTGTTCTCTCTCATGAATTTCGTCTGTTGCCATCAGGGCGAAGATATGCTCTACCTGCTCAAAGGACTAATCGCTTTTCAAAATCATTCATCCCTTCTGCACTCAAACTTTTAAATTATTGAAAGGCTTTTAACTTGATTATTTATTTATTATTGTGATGCTATGAACTATTTATAGCGTAAATTGGGATGATCCACATCTGTGCTCCCAGGTGTGTCTGTGTGTTTTCTTCCTGTATGTTCCTGCCTGTGTTCATGACATAAGCTGCTGCTCATAACCAATTGCCCCTTGCGGGATTAATAAAGTTGTTGATTGATTGAAAATTATGAAATCAAATACACCAAAAATGTGTCTTTAAGGCCTCGTTGTAAGCTTTAAGGTTATGAGTTCAATTCTTATAAGGTAATGTGACTTTATTTATGGAGGACGGAACGTGACATAAGTATAAATACAAAATGCATAAATAACTATGAATGAATAAATAAATACGGAAATAAAATAATGAGAAAATAAATACAGAAATAAATGAATAAATAAATAAAAGTTGAGAATAAAACGGTACACACATTATTAAATATCTTTAATATAGGGTTGCAGGAGTGTGATCATTTCTGGCAGATCGTGCTCTACTACTAATGCCTGGCTAATTGCGCTGATTCGAATGCAGGTGCGTTTAGTGTTACGTCCAAGTGACAAAGTGACAACTAATTTGTTTAAGGTATATTAATCTTTAAGTTCTTATTATTCATCCATGATATTAATCCATGCATACATTAGGGCTTGGTCGCAGGGGTTAAGTTGGGAGGGGGCGGAGGTCGAGGATCTCATTATTTGACCTAAGGGATATACACTGTGGCCCTAAAGCAAGTGCTCCATTATCTGTATCAAATGCACACATTGATGCCACCAAATGTCACAATAAAAATAGAAAGTACTACAAATAAACTGGAATTAATTTACATCTTAAATTATCAATATATATACACAAAAAAGGTTTACAAATATCCAACCTTCAAATTGCTTTTTTAAATCAACACTGCTCTGCACACTTGCTAAAGAACATTTGTGTGGAAATCTCAATTCATTTGTAGGGCTGCGTGAGTATGGCCAAAAGTATGGGAGTAAATCTCACTGTAAACTATTTAATCATCACCAAATTCTGTGTTATTATGACCGATCATAACTCAGCTTTATGCAGACATACATTTAGCATGGTGTGGTGTAGGAAACGGGCTCCGTGTTACAAGACGGGTCGGGGGTTTGGCGGTACCGCTGCAGACTCTCTGCACACACACACACACACACACACACACACACACACACACACACACACACACACACACACACACACACACACACACACACACACACACACACACACACACACACACACACACACACACACACACACACACACACACACACACAGGGGCGCCGCCAGGGATTTTGGGCCCCATGAAAAGATAATCACATTGGTTACTTAAACATTTTTTTCTTAATGTTCTCAAATTGTTTGGGCCCCTGTCAGTCACGGCCATGGGCCCTTAGAATCGTCCTAACTTTTCACCCCCTTACACCGCCCCTGCACACACACACACACACTCGCCGGCTTTGCCCGCCTCGCCCACGGAGGCGGAGGAGCCTGCACAGGTATATTTAAAAAAGTACCCAACTCGCCTGTACAGTGGGGTAAGGCGCTCATTGTGCAGCTCATGGTTTAAAAACAGAGATTGGCTGGAATATTCATGTAAAAAATATGCCATCTTCTGCTATGCATGTAGACATTTCGGTTCAAGTACGTCAGATGCCTTCACCACAACTGTACCAGAGTACCAACCGCTGTCTCCTGGTACTCATCTGAGTAACTCACTCACTAAAAATGAAATACTATATGACAGTAAAACAAGAATACAGTTTAAAAGGGGAGTGATTTGTAAAATATCCATAAAGAAAAAGTAAATCTGTTTACAGTTCCGTTTCAAATGGATGTTGAGAGATGTATCCATAGATCTCTTCATTTAGCTCTCAAAGTGCACCAGATTGATGCTTTTAACTTCAATATTTAATAGAAAATCTTCCCGGGGGAGCATGCGGGTGAGGACCCCCCCTAGAAGGTGTTAGGTCCACTCCTCACTCATAAAAATAGCACTTTACCCCTGCACCCTCTCTAATCTCAGATGCACCCTGAGTCATTTTGTTCTGGAACCGGGCCTGCGGAAAAACTATAACCTGTCACAGAGATCTGCTATTTTAAAGTAAAGTCAACACATATCGACCCTAAATAAAGTCTATATTAAGAACGAGAGATGTTTTAACATATGGCTTAAACCAGTGTTTCTCAAACTTTTTCATACCAAGGACCACTTAACCAATAAAAAAACACTCGCGGACCACCTAACTCCACAAATATCCCAAAACACATCGTTTTTTACAAATCGCCTGAAAATTGTTCAAACAAGTGGCAACATGTGTGATGAAGGTGTTTATCTGGGTGATATCATGCAATCGAAAGTGAAACTTAAAGGAGACCTATCATGCTATATTTAAATGATATAGTGTATGACCATACCTATATAAGGTATATTTATACATTTTATTTTTCAAAATACCAAACAGATCATTTTTTAGCCATGCCTCGTTTCGCTCATTTTCGCTCTTTTCCAAGCCTGTCTTTGAAAATTCTGAGCAGCAGCTGACCACGCCCCCTGCAGAAGAGGGGGGCATGAGCCGGTGAGAGTCACGTTAACATGCTTGCTGTGATTACGAGTGTGGAATAAACATGTCATCTCAGAGCAATGCATGTGTTCAAGCGTATTATCAATTTGATCCAGAGACTGACCCTGAAGCAGCGGAGGTTTTGGTGGAGGTGGAAACATCTCGGTTGCAGCAGGACGTTTCTGAATGGTTAGTTGACAAGCTGTTGTTCCTATTTATTTTACTCTGTTACGATGCGTGCTACTTATTCCGTTCATATTTTGGCTAATTAGCAAGAATGCTATGTGTACAGTTTATAACTTAGAGCTTGTAACGCAAAAACAGCGATACATATATATATTTATAAAGGGAGACATTCATATTTTCAGCATATATACAATGGCCTCATTGCGTTTATTAATAGTTTAGTCCTTTTCTTCCAACATCGTGCAACAACCGTTGGAAAGTTCAATAACTTAGGGTGATAAAAAGTATAACTCCAACAACACCTCAGTTGTCAGCAGTGTGTGTAGTTTCATGTGTTTTTAAAAGCTCAGTTATTGACTTCTTTCTACAGGTGTACATGTGCAAATTGCGCCACGATGCCTTCTGAACGGAGAATGTGTGCTGCATGGAGATACCACAGGTAACATTTTTGATAGCTTCACTAAGTTGTCTGTTTAGAGAATACATTTTTAACATGTCATTCAATATATCTTTATCACACTAGGTGTCAAGACGGATGCAGGAACTTGAGGACTCTATAACCTGTGGTGGACCATCCTGGATTGGAGCCTGTGTGCCTGAATGTGTTCTTCCTGCAGAATGCATTTAATATTTACAGAGCTGAACATGGTGGACTACAGTTGAGGCAAATAGAGCAGTGAGTGGTTTGTTTGTTTTGACTGAAAGTGTAAAACGAATGCTAATATTGTTCATGGAAATAAATACTGGTGTATATGGCTTTATGCAATCTTTCATTGTACATGTACTATTATTACACAGCAATGGCATAACACACCCATGTGTACGACAAAAAAAGTCCACACACAACCTTATGCTTTTGAAATCAGAATATTCTTTACCCATCCAAACATGAATAATCACGACACATTTGATATCAACTCGGAACTTTATTGTCAAAATGAACGGTTCTTTGAACCCATAAAAAAAAAACGAAATGTACTTGTATTTTGTATAAATTACACTAAATATTTTTTTTAATGATTTCAGGCGTCACAGGTATCTAGCCTACAGAAGCTTTGTGAGCTGGTGCTGG